GGCTCACATCCTCAACTCCACAGACTGGCTTATTTTCATTATTTAGGTCTTTGACCAACCGATGTTTCTTTTGAACTATATTCCTGATCACGCACCTAATGTCCCTTTCCCCAGATTCACCTAGCAATTGTGGGATCTTATTCCCTTTATAAGGGAGCTGTGGTGGCCTAGCGGCAAGGAGCTGCACTGCTATCCCAAAAACATGCAGTTCAAACCCACCAGCTGCTCCACTGGTAAAAGATGGGCAATCTCTCCTGAAATTTACTGCTTCTGGAAACCCACTGGATTTACTGTCTCTGAAAAAGCATCGACTAAGAGTCAGTTCTAACTCAACAGCATACAACAACAATTCCCTTTCTAGGGAGCTCTGGTTAGAAGCTGTGCTACTAACCCAAGACTGCACCTCTCTCGTGGTTCGAATCCACCGGAGGCTCTGTCAGAGAAAATGATCAATCTCCTATGTGTGCAATTTACAGACTTGGAAACTCACTGCAGGGTCAACTATTGAGATGATTCTGACTCAACAACAATGAGTTTGTTTTAGTTTATAGCTCTAATTGCTATTGATATCCTCCTTCTTTCTTTTGTTTACAGGCTGTTTGCCCTGTGCCCTTCACTATATTATGAACTCCATAAGAGCAGGGAGTGTTCTGTCCTTCTCACCAGTGTACTCCTACTTCCAGTGTAGAGAACAATGCCTGGAATGTAGCAGACACTCAGTAAAGATGAATTAAATGAATATATGTGGGCAGCCGAGGCTGACCTTGAACACTGCCCAGGGACCAGTACCGGGTTTGGACTTCCTGACCATACTGTGGACTTGGCAGTGACAATTGTAGATGATGGGACTGAGATGATGGGAGGGTAAAAAAAGGGGCTTGGGACTGTGGCTCCCACTCCAAAGAGTCTCCTACAGCCTCCTTCTTCCCTGGTTGTTTATGTCTTGACTGATCCCTACAGAAGGGGGCAGAAGATCCAGTGAATGACTTACCCTGTTGCCTTGGTTACTGGTAAGCCATCCCTGCAAAAAAAAATCTAGGGGACTGGGGCACAGATTCCCATGGAGGCTGGAGTATGGAGGAGGGGTTAACAGTTACTGAGAAGACTGAAGATTGAGAGGCGGGAACTGAAGGTGAGAGTGCCAGAGTCCCCTGGGGCTGGAAGCTTTGGGTTAGTACACCTAGATTTCCAAAAGCAGTTGAGGGAGCTGGGGGACAGGGGATGGGGCATGAGGGTTTCCCAGGAGTTCTGGGATGAGGAAATGGGTTACTCAGGGAATGGCTGGGACACCAGGACTCTCTGGAATCTGGTTTGCTGTATTCTTTTTTGTGTGTGAGAAAAATTTCTATTTAGAATTAGCCAGCTGGACTCAGTTTAGATAATCCCAATTTTGTTGGCAACATCCAAAACATCAAAGTCAGGAGCAAGTGAAATAAAGGCCTTCTTCTCTCCATCAGGCCTAATCAAAGTGTCGACCTAGCCACATCAATGTCATACAGCTTCTTTACAGCTTGTTTAATTTGGTGCTTGTTGGCCTTGACATCCACAATGAAAACAACTGTGTTGTTATCGTCTATCTTCTTCATAGCTGACTCAGTGGTCAGGGGAAATTTGATGATGGCATAGTGGTCAAGCTTCTTTCTCCTGGGGGCGCTCTTCCGGGGGTATTTGGACTGCCTTTGGAGTCTCAGTGTCTTAGGTCGCCGGAAGGGGGTGACGTGTGGATCTTCTTTTTTTTTTTTTTTCTGTGGATGCCCTTCAGGACTGCCTTCTTGGCCTTTAATGCCTTTGCTTTGGCTTCAGTTATGGGAGGGGCAGGGGCTTCCTTCTTCACTTTCGGCGCCATCTTCGTAGCTGCTATATTCTTTTGAGGACAGATAAATTCTTGACTCTTGTTTTTCCCAGCTAGGATCAGCACAAACCAGTTCTTGTTTAATGGAGTAAAAACAAATTTGTCTGGGAATGCAGCAAGTGGACTGAGAGCGGGGCAGAGAGGCAGCTTTTTACCTTAGTTCCCTTCCCTATTGTTTCTCCCTGAGTCTTCCCCTCCCTTCCAACAGCCCTGGCCCCCATCTCTCCACAGTCCTCTCACGCCCCCTGCTGTTCATTCCCTGGACAGCAATGGCCAGTCCATAGAGCCAGGTCCGCTGAGACAGCAAGTTCATCTCTTCCTGGTCCTTCTAATCTCAGGGGATCAGCCGTGGAAGGAGGAAACTGGAGCCAGAGAGGGATGCTGAGAAGGAGGTAGACTCCAAACTCCTCAAAAGCAAAATCAATATCTCTCTCTCTCTGCGTAAGGTTATCTGGAGCAGTTTATACTTGACCACTAGTTTGAGGTTCAAATCACCTCAGAGGAATAAGTTTATCAATCTGCTTCCTTAAAATTTACAGCCATGAAAAGTCTATGAAGCAGTTCTTCTCTGTAACATACAGGGTTAACTTTAAGATAAAATTGACTTTGTGTGTGTGTGTGTGTGTGTGTGTGTGTGTGCGCGCGCGCATGTGTGTCTTTCCTATATGTGCTTGATCTCACCTAAAAAGTCATTAATCCCTCAGGGAAATATTTTCTGACGCCCAGACTAGATTCTAGGCCCATTATTCACAAAGCTTCACTTCCACCATGACATATCTATCTGTTTGTTCTTCTGGCATATTTAGCACTTTTTTTGGGATATTCAGCACTTTTCTTCAACACCACAACTCAAAGGCATCAATTCTTCTATTACGCTTTTTCATTGTCTAGCTCTCAGATGCACAGCAGGTGACTAATAAGGCCATGTCTTGAATCAAGCATACCTTCGCGAATAATTTGGAGAGGTCTCTAACTGCAGGCTTTCCCAGTGTAATACATATCCTGATCTCCTTACTGCTGGTACCAAGGGTGTTGGTCGTGGATCCAAGTAAGATGAAGTCATTGGCAGTTTCAATCTTTTCTCCATCTATGATGATGTTGCTTATTGGTCCAGTGGTGAGAATTTTTGTATTCTTGATGTTGAGATGCAATCCATTTTGAAGGCTGCATTTTCTATACTTCTGTAGCAAGTGCTTCAAAGTCGTCTTCGCTTTCAGAAAGCAAGGTGTGTCATTTGCATAACAGGTTCTTGATGAATCTTTATCTGATCCTGATACCATATTCTTCTACACGGAGTCCAGGTTTTTTAATGATTTGCTCCACACACAGATTGAATAGATATGGAGAGAGGATACAACACAGACATATATCTCTTAATTTAAAATAATGTACTATTCCCTTGCTTTGTTTGTACAAGGGCCTGTTGGTCTGGATATAGGTTTCTCATGAGCACAATTAAGTGTCCTAGGATTATGTATCTTCACAATATTAGCCATAATTTGTTATAGATCCATACAATCTAATTGCTTGACATAGTCAATAATGCACAAATAGACATCTTTCTGGTACTCTTTGGTTTCAGCCAAGATCCATCTGACATAAGCACTGATATCCCTGATGTCATGGCTAAACCCAGCCTGAACTTCTATTAGTTCTCTGTCTGTGCACTGTTCTAGCCATTTTTGGATGACCTCTAGCAATATTTTGCCTGGATGTAATATTTTTTTTTTAATTATTTTATTTCATTATTTTTTGTATGTACCGTCAAATCAGATCTGACTGGTACAGGAGGAGATTGTTTCTCCTTCTCCAACAGAGCATCTGGTGGATTCGAACGGTGTATCTCTGAGATTGCAGTTACAGCTTCTTGCCACTAGGCTACCAGAGCTCACTGGATAGATGTAATATTAATGATATTGTTCAATAACTTCCATATTCTGTTCAAGCACCTTTTTAAGAATGGGAATAGATATGTATCTCTTCCAGTCAGTCAGTCAGGTAGTTATCCTCCAGATTTCCTGGCATAGAATGGTGAGTATGTCCAGGACTGTATTTGTCAGTTGAAACATTTTAATTGGTAGTTTATTGATTCCTGGGGTCCTTTTTTTCCCCCCAAAGCCTTCAGTGCACATTCAATTTCTTCCTTTATTACTGTTGGCTCTTGATAATATGATATTTCCTGAAATATTTCGGTGTTAGCTAAGTCTTCTTGGTACAATGATTCTGTGTATTCCCTCCATTTTCTTTTGATGCTTCCTGGATCACTCAAGATTTTGGGACTCTCAGGATTGCAACTCGAGTCTTAAATTTGACTTTTAGTTCTTTCAGCTTGAGAAATGTCAAGCGAGTTATTCCCTATTTTTTCTCCCATTCCAGTGCTCTGCACATTCTAACACTTTGCTTTTTCTTCTCTAGCTGCCCTGTGAAATCTTCTGTTCAGCTCTTGTACTTCAGCCTCTCTTTTCTTTGTTTTCACTTTTCAGTGCTCTAGTGCAATTTTCAGAGTCTCTTTTAACATCCATTTAGGATTTTTCTTTCACTTCTGTCTTCTTAATGAGTTTTTGTTTGGAGAAAGTGCAGCCAGAGTGCTCCTTTGAGGCAAAAGATTGCAAAGCTTCATCTAACACACTTAGGATATGTTACAAAGAAAGGCTATTCCTTGGACAAAGTTATCATGCTTGGAAAGGTGGAAGGTCAGTGAAAGAGGAAGACCCTCAACAAGATGGATTGACATAGTGACTGCATCAATAGGCTCCAGTGTGTCAGGAATGATGAGAGCGGCACAGGATAGGTCAGGGTTCATATCTGCTCCTCATAAAGTTACTATGAATTGCACAAGACATGATGGCACCTAACATCTACAATAGTAATCACCAAGTCTTCACACTCTCATGGTGTATATCAAAGCTTTTAGTTATGTATTTCTTAGTCTGGATGAATACCTGCCTTCCCCATGGTATTATGAGGATCAAGAAGGCAGGAACCAGCGTTGGGTTTGCTCATCAATATAACCCATTGCTTATCTCAGTGGCTGATACATTGCAGGCACACAGTAAATATTGAGTAAATGAACACATGATAGTCAAAGTAGTTTTAGGCAGGGATTTGATGGGGGGGGTGGGATGTGTGTGTGTTTAAATGCCTTTGCCTAGCTCTGGGGGCATCTATGAGTCCAAATGTCCTGGCTTCTTCACAGAGCCAAATCCATGTCCACCTCTGGCCTTGAGCCCAAAGGCTATGCAAACAAAGGAGGCAGAAAAGGGCTCTTCTAGATGGACCAGTCCTTGAAGCAGGATGTCATGCTTGGAAGGGTGGAGGGAGAGCAGCAAGAGAGGAAGACCCTCTATGAGTTGGGTTGCTTCAGTGACTGGGGTAATGGGGGTAAGTGTGTAAGAGACAATAAGGTTGGCTCAGGATAGAGCAGGGTTCAGGGCTGATGTACATAGGGTCATTGTAAGTTGCAAGCAATTTGATGGCACATAACAACAGAGGAGGGTGGAATGTAAGTGGCTTTAGGGTCAGCCCAGACATTTCTCCCCTCTCTCTTACTTCTCGGAAACTTTATTTTCAACTTGTTTCTTTCCGCTCCTATCACATCTTCCTGTTCTTGTGGCTTTTTCTTCTTTTCTTTCATCAGTTCCCTTCCCACCTTCCTACCTCCCTTTAGTTTTTGCTAATCGTGGGCTAAGGACTTTGAACATCATTCCCTCTAACCTGCTACTGGTCCCAGGAAGAGGTGCTCCTGAGACTCAGCCCAGAAGTTGGAGAGGGGTCAAGATCCAAGGGAAGTGAGAAACAAAAATGAGGTGGGAGGCATAGTACTCCCTGACCTCAAAACCTACTCCACAGAGGTAGTAACCAAAACAGCATGGTACTGGTACAATGACAGGCACATCAACCAATGGAACAGAATTGAGAACCCAGAAATAGACCCAGCTATCTATGGTCAATTGATATTTGACAAGGAAATCAAAGCTATCAAATGGGGAAATGACAACCTCTTCAACAAATGGTGCTGGCAAAACTGGACTTTCATCTGCAGAAAGCTGAAACAGGATCCACATCTCAAATCATACACAAAAAATCAACTCAAGATGGATCAGAGACCTGATAATAAAGCCCCAAATCATAAAGTTCATAAGAGACTGTTAAGTCTGGGCAAAGGGAGCCAAAGAGAATAATGAAGAATTCAGAACTCAAATACTGACAGTCTTGTTCTACTGCTGATAAGAAGAGCAAACGGCCTTGCCTGTCTGGCTGAGCTAGTAGGTGGATTGTGAATCAGACTGGAATGTCACTCCCTAAAGATTCTGTTACAAAAATCCTCGCCAATAAATTCACAGTGTGACTTCCCCATTCTGTATCTCCAGAATGAAGAACTCACCCGGGGAGCTCTCCCCCTGCCCCTTAATAAAGCTGTATTAAGCTTTCTCTCATTCTCTCCAATTTCTTCCTTAAGTCCACTAACTTAACAAAGTGAGATCAAGCTTAGAAGCCGTAGTCTACAATATAAAGAGACTGCCAAATACAGCCAGAAATACACAATCTGAAGAGTATAAAATTGATGAATGGGACCTTCTAAAGATTAAATCCCTGTATGCATCAAAAACTTTTTCCAACAGGGTGAAAAAAAAACACCCAACCAACAGGGAACAAACATTTGACAAGAGTCTCATAACCAAAGTTTATTGAATACTCCTGGGTCTCCACATGAAAAAGACTGATAACCCAATTACAAAAGGGGCAAAAGACATGAAAAGAATTTTCACAGAGGAAGATATTAGAATGGCCAAGAGAAACATGAATAAATGCTCAAAATCACTGGCTATAAGAGAGATGAAAATCAAAACCATAATGAGATACTACCTCACTCCAGTAACAGTAGCAAAGTTTAACAGGACAGAAACTAATAAATGCGAGAGTGGACGTGGCAAGATAGGAACTCTTTTTTTTTAATTTTTATTTTATTATTTGTGTGTGTGCGTGTACTGTCAAATCAGATCTGACTGGTACAGGAGGAGATTGTCCCTCCTTCCTCAGCAGAGCATCTGGTGGATTCGAACCGTGCGCCTCTAGGATTGCAGTGCAGCTTCTTGCCACTAGGTCACCAGAGCTCCCAAGATAGGAACTCTTATACATTGTTGGTGGGATTGTAAAATGGTAAAACCATTCTGGAAGGCAGTTTGGCACTTCCTCAAAAAGCTGAACATAGAAATTCCATATGACCCAGCTATTCCTCTGCTTGGAATGTACTCTGAAAAAATGAGAACTGAGGCACAGATGGAGACTTCACACCAATGTTCATAACATTTATTCGCCATTGCATGAACATGGAAGCATCCCAGATGTCCAACCACAATTGAATGGATTGAGAAATAATGTTACATTCATACAATGGAATACTATGCAGCACACAGGAGTAATGATTTTATAATTATTACCTAGCTTGGGAGGGACTGGAGAGTATTATGCTGAGTGAACTGACACAGTCCCACAAGGACAAATATTGTATAAAATCATTATTGTAGAATGAGTGTGAAGATCCAAGGTGGGGGGAGGGTGGAAGCAGAGGGATGAGGATAGGGGGTGGGAGGTGGAATAATCATGGGGTTATACAATTTGATGGGGGAAATTGGAAGAATCTGATCTGAAAAACAACATACTCAAATTTTGTAAATAAACTAGTATAATAATATTTTTTTTAAAAAATGTGAAGCAGATTAAAAAAAAATATCCAGGGGAGGAAAAGCGAGGGTCCCCTCCTTCAACCCCTGACTCCAGGCTATGGCCGACATACTCACCTTCAGCTGAAAAGGGAGTCCTGAACATGGGAACAGATCCAGCTCAGACCCAAACCCCAGAAGACAGAATCACCTTCTCAAGAGTGTAGGGGAGGGTGAGGAGGGAAAGAATAAACTGTGTCCACTCATCATAGCCCCACTCTTAACTGCCTTAATTTACCTCTTAGCCAAATCCTCTACCTATGAGTCATCCAACGCCTAAATCCTGCCTTGTTTTTCCTGGCTTCGCTCTCTGTGGAATCCTTAGTTGGTGGAAGTAGGTTAGTGACTTGGCTACTAACCAAAGTGTTGGAGGTTCCAGTCTATCCAGTGGTGCTTCAGAAGAAAGGTCTACCAATCTCCTTATTTTGAAGACCTTATGGATTACAGTTCTACTCTGATATAGGGGGAGAGACTGCATGAGTCACAATCAAAGACAGCAATGGGTTCATTCTTCATAAAAACACACTTCCTCCAAGTAAATGTACAATCTAAATAAAGGCTGTTTTCTTTGTATATGTCATTTCAAGATGTTTCTCCTTCCTCAGAGTGCCATCCTTACATCCTCCGAGTGCTGGAATTTGGAAGTCCCCATTTACTCTCCTTTCCCCTCCTCCCATGAAGGCACAATGTCTTCCTCTTACTTGATCTTGGAGAAGGAGGAGGAGCTGAGGAGAGTTCTTGGGAGCCCCAAGAGCAAAGAAGTGGCTGGATCTGCTTCTATTTGGATCCTAAGCTCCAGAGAGAAGGCTCAGAGTTCTGCACGAGACTAGGGGATGTCTAAGGGAAGCAAGATCCTCCTGAGGTCCAAGATAAGGGCTGTATGGAAGGAAATAGTTAGAAACAGAGCAAGGTAGAGACATTGAACTTGTCACAGAGAGAAAACCAGCCTTTACCTTGGAGGCTAAATTCTGCATGAGTTCTTGGAGGGGAATATCCCAGGTTGGGGCACAGCACAGCTTCTAGTGCCAACAGAAGCAGAGACTGAGGTCTAGCCTTGCACACACATCCAGTTAGATACTTCCAGTGCAGGCACCAGCTAGAGGAAGGCAGGTGTGGCACATTGGAATCTGGGCATCTAACCCCCTATCCCAGCCACCTTACTTGTTTCTTATCCTCAGGAGTATAAGCATCTTTTTCTACCCACTCAACTCTCATCCCATCCTCTTTTCTCAGAATGTGCACAAGGACCCACATAGTCACTCACTGATACTTTGCCAGCCTTGGAAATACTTCTGGCCCCTGTAATGCCTTATTGGCACCTGGAGGGTGGAGGTGGAGAATAGAAGTGCCACCAGAAAAATCTCCATAATGAGCTGGGAGCTTTTGGCCAAGAACCCAGACACTTGTCTAAGGAGCAGCACCTCCTCCGCCTCCACTCCCAGAAGCTCCAAGCTCCATTCTTTTTTTAAATGTCCAGTGATCATTTTATTAAAAACCAGATTTGTCCTTATCACTGACTTATATTTGTAAAATTGTTACTCTACCTGGTTCTGTTATTATTATTTTTTTAGTAATATTTTCCCCCATTGTTTATCCTGATCCATTTTTACTTCCATCTGCAAGAAGGAGGAGAGAAGAGCAGGAGGTCTGAAGCCTGCTGACACCATTTTTCTTCCAAGGCAGCCTCATGTTGTGGAGAGATCATGCTTTTTAAGAGCCAGTTGGCAACAAAGCAACATTGAGAGTCCAGACTGAAATCTACACATCTGTGGTTAACTGATTTTTTACAAAGCTGTTAAGTCCATTTGATGGAGGAATAAAAGGCACCAGAAAAGGGCTTTTTCAATAAAAGGTACCATTTTCTGGATATCTACGTGCAACAAAATGAAACACTACCTTTGCCTCACACTAAAAACAAGATCTAAATTAATTAAGAGCTTAAATGTGCAAATGAAAACCTTATAATTCTTAGAAGAACAAGCAGAGACAACACTGTGGGGCCTTGCTTACATTAGAGGATTATCCAACCCACCAGCAAAAGGCCAACAGCAAAACACAAGAAAACCTTCTGAAAATGGAAAAAAATTGGTTCAGCAAAAGACTACCTAAAGAAGAAAAAAAATAAGCAATCAACTGGGGGAATATCTTCCGAAATCACATGTCCAACAAGAATCTGTTGCTGTTAGATGCTTTTAAGGATTGTTGTTAGGATTGCTATGAACAACAGACCCTGTTGCATCCTCAACCTCATCCTCTCCGCCATGCCCAAGCCCACTGTTGCAGTCACGGTGTCATTCCACCCTGGGAGTCTTCTTCTCCTTCTCTGATGCTCCTCTTTTCCAAGTAGGCTGCCTTTTTTCAAGGACTCACCCTTTTGACAATGTACTCAAAATATGTGAGACAAAGTCTCACCATCCTTGCCTCTAAAGTGCACTCTGGATGCACTTCTTCCTAAGCAGATTTAAACTGTTACAAAAACAACTCAAACACAAAATAGAAAAAGCCTTGACAATAGGCATTTTACCAGAGAGGACATTCAGAAGTACTGGTTAATAATGTGTGTCAGTCATGTGGCCACGTTTCTAGTATAAAGTAACTATTCTCTGTGTTAATCCTAACCCTATGATATCAAGAAGGCGCTACTAGAGGCAATTATGAGATCGTCACTGAACTGCTCTAAGGAAGTTTCCTCAGCAGCAAGGCCTGTGGGCTGTTTGGCCACACTAGCTAGCTTTTTTAATTTATTCTTGCACATTTTCTAACCCTCTTTCCCCACACTGCTCCAGTCTACCCCTCAATGCACACTAACTAGCCTTTTGCTGATTTGGATCCTGCATCCAGCTCATCAGAACCAGCGGTGTAGACTTGTCAATCTCCAAAGTCAGGAGTTTGCTGCTCTGCCTGCTGACTTTAGACTTGTTAACTTCCTCTGGCAGCCTCTCTCCCCGGTCTAACCATGGACCTGTGATTTACCAGCCTCTACAAGTGTGTGTGAGAGCTATTTCCTTGAAAGAAATATCAATCTCTAGATAGATACAAATATAGACACTTCATTAGTTTTGCCTCACTAAAAAACTTAGCCCAAGACAACTTTCAAACTCCTGAAAAGACTGAGAAACTTTGTTGTTCTTGTACACCATTGAGTCAAATTTGACTCATGTCTCACCCTCCAGTGGGTTTTCAGAAGCTGTAAATTGCATGGAAAGAGATTGCCAATCTTTCTCCTGAAAGGCAGTTGGCGGATTTGAACCATGTGCATTGGGATTAGCAGTGCAGCTTCTTACCACCAGACCACCAGAGCTCCCTTAGAGTCTTTAGCCACCAAAAAGATGCAAATCAAAACCACAATGAGATCCTATTTCCTTTCTACTAAAATGGCTAAGGGAGCTCTGGTGACGTAGCAGGTAAAGAGTTGCACTGTAAACCCAAAGGTACTTACACCAGCTGGTTCCAATACACCAGCTGGTCCAAGTGAGAAAGATGAGCAACCACTCTGTGTGATTTGCAACCTCTGGACACCTGCTATGAGTTGTTTCAGACTTGACAGCTATGAATAACAACACTCAATGAATATCAACAGCAGCATGGCTAAGGTTAGGGGGAGAAAACTCCAAAATCAAAACACAGAAAATAACAAGTGTTAGTAGGAGTGTGGGGAAAGAGAATGCAAAATGGTACAATGTAACAATAGTAACAGTTCAACAGGAGAGTACACAACAAATGCTGGCAAGGTTGTGGAGAGATTGGAATTCTTTTTTACTGCTGGTTGTTGTTGTTGTTATGTGCCATCGAGTTGCTTGCAACTCATAGTGACCCTATGTACAACAGCCCTAAACGCTGCTCTGGCCTGTGCTAATTGCACCGTCTCCGATATACCCATCCCAATTACCCCAGTCACTGAGGCAATCTACCTCATAGAGGGCCTTCCCCTCCTGCACTGTCCCTCCACCCCACCAAGCATGATGTCCCTCTTCAAGGACCCGTCCCCTCCTTACAACATGTCCAAAGTATGTTAGACGGAGCCTCAGAATCCTTGCCTCCAAAGAGCAGCCCGGTTGACCCTTTCCAGGATGAATCTGTTTGTTTTCCTGGCAGTCCATGGTACCCTCAATACTCTTCTCCAGCACCACAGCTCAAAGGCATCAATTCTCCTTCTATCCTCCTTAGTCATTGTCCAACTCTCTGATATATAACAGGTGATAGCAAAGACCATGGCCTGTATCAGATGCACCTTAGTCTCCAAAGAGACACCATTGCTCTTCAGTACTTTGTAGAGGTCCCTAAAAGCAGACTTTCCCATCGCAATACGTCTTCTAATTTCCTGGCTACTGGTGCCAAGATTTTTGACTGTGGAGCCAAGCAAACTAAAGCTATGAACAATCTCAATCTCTTCACCATCCACTCTGATGCTACCAATTATTCCAGTGGTGAGAATCTTTGTCTTCTTGTCATTGAGCCTCAATCAATATTAGAGGCTGCAGTCCTTGACTCTATGCAGCAAGCGCTTCAGGTCTTCCTCTGTTTCAGCAAGCAGGGTTATGTCATCTGCATATCACAGATAGGAATGTAAAATGGTGCAACCAGTATGGAAAGTGTTATGGTGCTTTCTCAAAAAGTTGGAAATACAAATACTATTTGACCCAGCAATTCCACTGCTGGGAATACACTTTAAATGAACCAGAGTCTCTATTCAAGTAGATATATGCACATCAGTGTTTATTGCTGTGTTATTCACAATAGCAAAGAGATGGAAGCAACCCAAGTGCCCATCAATAAATGAACTATGGTATATTCACACAATGAAATACTATGCAGCACTGAAAAACAATGAACTTGTAGAACATTACACAACATGGGCCTGGAGGACATTATGCTGAGTGAAATAGCTTAGTCACAAAAGTACAAACACTGCATAACGTTGCTGTTATAAAATAGGACTGACATGAAGGATTGGAAGGAGAATAAGAAAAGAGTGGCTAGATAATGAACACTGCACTGGAACAGATGAAGGGGTGAACTGTCTGAAAAGAATAAATTATTAGGCATTATATATATGACAACACTCAGGAACAAGAGGTGCACTGAAACATGGACTGGTGGAGGGGGAAGGGAGAAAAATGTGCAACAATGAGGGAGCTCTGGTGGCCTATTGGCAAGAAGCTGCACTGCAATCCCAGAGGCATGCAGTTCAAATCCACCAGATGCTCTGCTGGAGAAGGAGGGGCAATCCCCTCCTGTACCAGTCAGATCCAATTTGACGGTACACACACACACACACACACACACACACAAATGTGCAACAATGAATGAATAAAGAAACAAAACCGAAATTATTAGATTCATGAGGAAATGCTCAAAATCACTGGCAATAAGAGAGATGCAAATCAAAACTACAATGAGACACTATTTCACCCCAGTAGTAGTGGCAAAGTTTAGCAGGGCAGCAAGCAATAAATGTTGAAGAGGATGTAGAGAGATGGGAACTCTCATACACTGTTGGTGGGATTGTAAAATAGTACAACCTCTCTGGAAGGCTGTTTGGCATTTCTAAAAAAGCGAGCATACCCTACCTCCCTCCCCAACCCCTAAGTAAGATTGCACATTAACTCTACTTTAAGAGGGGTGGCACTGGGAAATGTGAACCATGAGAATGTCAGTGATACTGATGAGGAAAAATAAACTAAAAGTCTTTGTAGCATTAAAAAAAAAGTGAGCATAGAAACTGTGTATGACCCAGCTATTCCACTACTAGGAATATGCTGTTGTTGTGTACCACAGAGTCAGAACTGACTCATAGCTGAACCTCCTGCAGATTTTCAGAGGCAGGTAGGTAATCATTGCACGGGAGGATATTGCTCATCCTTCTCCTGCAGTAGGAATACACTCCTAGGAAATTAGAACTGAGACACAAATAGAGACTTGCACACCAATGTTCATAGCAGTGTCATTCACCATCATAAGAACATAAAAACAGCCCAATGTCCAACCACAACTGAATAGATTGAGAAACTGTACATTTCTCTGTACATTCACAAAATGGAATACTATGAAGCACTCAGGAGCAACAATTTTTAAAAATACTACATAATTGGGAGAGAGTGGAAAGTATTATGATGAGTGAACTAATTCAGTTCCATAAGGACAAATACCGAGTAAGTCCATTATTGTAAAAATAGACGGACAACTAGTAACACATGTGTGGTGATCCAAGGAGGAAAAGTGAGAGCAGAGGGGTGAGGTTGGGCAGGGGCAAAACCAGAGTTGCACAATTTTGTGGGTGAAGGGAGGGGGTACAGAAAATGAGAAAGATCCAGCTGGGACCTGAAAAGACATGCCTCTGGAAACTTGATGAATTTTGATAACTGTCAATAGTTGTAGAGGGGCTTCAGGCCTTCTGTTCATAGGGTCGTTATGAGTAGTGCTTGACTTGAAGGCAATCAACAACAACAATGGTAGGCATAGTCCAAAGGTAATTAATTTTATAAAACATAATGAATGGGAGTTATTGTATGAAACACAATGTGAATAAAGAATAGTGTGAAACACAATAAATATGAACTTTGTAAGCAAATGACTATAAAATACAAGTTTTTTTAAAAACAAACAAAAAAACTCAAAATGGTTCAGTCAGTGTGAAAAACAATGTAGCTGTTTCTCAAAAAATGAAAAATAAAACTGTCATATGTCCTAGCAATTCCAATCCTAGATCAAAAATCTGAAAAGGTAAACTTATTGCTGTAAAGTTGGTTCTGACTCATAATGGTCCTCAATTAGGAGTCTGAGACTGGAAATCTGGTTGGGGTGGTCATACATCTTCCCTCCTCAGAGCTATTGGCAGATTCCAACCACTGGAGTCATTAAGTCTATTGGTTTGCTGTGTAATAGACAATGAACTCTGCTCCCAAGGCACCTTCCTCGCTCCTAGGTATATATATATATATATTTATATTTAAAAAAAAAAACCTTGAAAGCAGAAACTAAAAAAGAAACTTGTGGGCTCACTTTGGCAGCACATATACTAAAATTGGAACGATACAGAGAAGATTAGCATGGCTCCTGCACAAGGATGACACGCAAATTCGTGAAGCGTTCCATATTTTCGACCCTGAAATTAACCAGTCTGTAACAAAGGCTAACTCCTTTCACCTACAAATTTCGTCTTTGGATACAAAGCTAAGTGGATAGTCCTTAAGGAGGGACTGTTTAAAAAGAGGCAGGGAAAAGGAAAAAAAAAAAAAAGAAAAGAAACTTGTATATCAATGTTTACTACAGCACTAATCTCAATATCCAAAATGGAAACAATCTATATGCCTATCAACAGATGAGCTGATAAACAAGATGTGGCACATTCATGCTCAGAGCTTGAAGACATTATGCTGAATGAAATAAACCAAATACAAAAGGACAAATACTGTATGACCTCACTAATAATAAAAGCAAAAAATCCTCACCACCAGGTTAATAGGCAGCATCATGATGGAGAAAAGATTTCAGTCGTCAGTGAATTAATCTTACTTAGATCTACAATCAAAATTCTTGGTACCAGCAGTCAAGAAATCAAAAGATGAGTTGCACTGATGGAGAAAATATTTCAGTCGTCAGTGAATTAATCTTACTTAGATCTACAATCAAAATTCTTGGTACCAGCAGTCAAGAAATCAAAAGATGAGTTGCACTGTGAAGATCTCTTGTTACTTCTCTAAGATTATTTAAGAATCATGCTGTCAGTTTAAAGACTTGGCATCCTAGTTTTACTTTCTCCAAGAGAGATCTGTGCATTCTCTTGGTAGTCCATGGGTTATACAGTACTCTTCTTCAGCACCACAGCTCAAAGGCATTGATTCTTTCAACTCTCAGATGCATAGCAAGCAATTGAGAGGGCCATGGCCTTTTGTAGTTCTTATTTTTTTTTAATTGCTGTTGTCAGATTAACCTCAGATACATAAAACAGCACATAGAAGAAATGAAATGACAATGTTATAGGAACGTCTAATAATTTGACTCTATTCTCTTTTGTTGGATCAGCTCAAGACATCCTTTTTTTTTTGTGCCATTTCCCATCACTCAGCCAGGGTCCACTTTCCACCAAAAGTTGGGCCCGGTGGTTGTACAACTGAATCTCAAGGCTGCCATCCTCAAGTCCCAACATAAATCAGCCATTCCTTGGGTTGGTAGCCCTATTTAAAAAAAATCACCAAAACCCAAAAGACCACCACTCCCTCTGGAATCCATATTTGATACTCAAAGGAGAAGATTGCGGAAAGACAGAAAAAAGGGTTGTGTGTAGATATGCCCTTCAAGGTAAATGTGGGGTTGAAGGAGGTGGAGTTCTGAATGAAGGACAAGGACTCAGGGAAAAAAGATGATGAGGCAAGATCAAGTCAACAGGCTTGGTTGACCTCTTACTTTGTAATGTGGTGACATGATAGGTAATGATTGTAATAGGCTTGTATCATGAGCTATTGCTGGGGTGCCAAGCAGAAGAGTCCCAAATCCTCTATCAGAAGGAGGAAATGAAAAAGATAGGACAAGGATATTTACAGACAAACAGTGGGAGAAACTTAGTTACAGGCCCAGAGGAAGAGCGAAGGATGAAAGCAGAAGTGAAGTGTAAGTGAAGTGCACCTTGCTTGAATATATCCGTGATGCACTGCAATCCCAGAGGTACATGGTTTGAATCCACCAGATGCTGTGCTGGAGGAGGGACAATCTCCTCCTGCACAGTCAGATCGATTTGATGGTACACATACTAATAATAATAAAAATTTTATCTATCTATCTATCTATCTATCTATCTATCTATCTATCTATCTATCTATCTAATTTTAAGTCTCCGTGGACAGAGTGCCTTGTCCCATCCCTGCACCTGAGTGGGGAGAAAAGGTCTCAGAATCAGTCCTCCTGGAGCATGAGGCAGCAGCAGCAGCAGCAAATGATGCACCTTGGCTACTGGTTTCTGCCTTCCATGGTGTGCTTCACTTTCTCTGTGACTCAGACAACCCTAGGGAGAATGTGTTGGGATAGTAAGTTGAGCTCAAGATTGGTAGAGTGTTGAAGTTTACCCTAAGAATGGGAAAGAAAGCAGGGAACAGTAGCACTGCCTCTATAGCCTCTTTAGGGGCCAAATGGGTTGTGGTTGTTGTTAGGGACCGTTGAGTCAAATATGACTCAATAACAACAAATGAACAACAAATCTGAATCCTGTCCTGTCCTGTGCCCACCTCATCATCTCGGATACACTTGAGCTCATTGCTGTAGTCACTGAGCCAACCTATCTCATTGGAGGCTTTCCTCTCTTTTCCTGCCCCTCCACCTTTCCAACCATGATGTCCCTCTCCAAGGAATAACCTCTCCCTAGCGACATGTCCAAAGTGTGGGAGACCAAGTTTTACCATCCTTGCCTCTAAGGAGCACTCTGGCTGCACCTTTCTAAAGACATACCTGTTCATTCTTTTGGTAGTCCATGGGATATTCAGTATCTTCTCTAACTCCACAGCTCAAAGGCATCATCAATTCTTCTTCTGTCATTCTTATTCATTGCCCAGCTCTCAGATACATAGCAAGTGATGGAAAAGACCATGGTCTGAACCAGGCACACCTTAAGCTTCAAACTGACATCATTGCTCTTCAATATTTTAGAGAAGTCCTTGACCATGGCCTTGCACTCCTCGACTGTGGAGAAAGTCTGTGGACTGGGAGAAGGCACACCTGCTTCCCTTCTCCCCTAGAACCTGATCTGGATCTTTCAAGGCTTCTGTTCACCTGCAGAGATTGCCTAGTCCAACCAGAGGTCTGGAAACAGCCCTGTCAGCTCAAATACTTAGCTAAGTGACCTTAGGCAGGTCATAACACCTCTGTACTTCTGCCTCTTTATCTGTAAGATGGGGAAAATAAGAGCTACTTTATAAGGTTACTTCTGTAGGAGGGTGAGGAGGGAAATAATGCAAGCACAGTTCCTAGAGTCCAGTCTAAGTTCCTCCCCCAGTATTTTCCCAGGCCTTAGAGCCTGGCTTCACAGGGAGGTTCTCTGTGTACGGTTCAGTGGATACTTTCTGCCCCTTCATCTCACTCCTAATGACCTTTCCCTTATCCATTTTTTTAAAATATTTTTTTAAATTTTATCATTTTTGTGTGCATGTACTGTCAAATCAGATTTGACTGGTATAGGAGGAGATTGTCCCTCCTTTCCTGGCAGAGCATCTGGTGGATTCAAACCGTGCACCTCTGGGATTGTAGTTGCAGCTCCTTGCCACTAGGCCACCAGAGCTCCCCATCCATTTCTGTTTTTAAAGAATTCTACCAGCTGTTCAAGAGAAAGATGAGACAGTATGCTTTCAAAAGTCAAACTCACTCCAACTGGATCAGTTCTCACTCATAGTGACCCTCTGTTGTTCCCTGGCTGTAAAATTTCATGAAAGGAGATTGTACATCTTCCCTCTACAGCTCCAGCCTCTGGTGGTTTCCAATCTCATGCAAGACTTCATCAGAGCTTCCTCATTAAGACCTACAACATTGGAAACCCTATTGGGCAGTTCTACTTCGTTTTATAAGGCTGTTATGAGTCAGAGCTGAGCGGATGATAAGGGTGTGATTGAATCTTTTTAATCAGCTTATTACAAGGCCTACCAATCTACCAGGAAGTGCTGGTGGCCTAGTTCTTTTTTTTTTAGAGGTAAATATTATATATTATGATATGTTGTGTTTTTTTAAAATTAATTTTAATGAACAGTTACAGAGACTTTGGATTTCTATACATTCATTGTTACATTTTTCTCCCTGCCCACCCTTCCCCCCAGTTTGCTCTTCTCTTTGAAAAGTAAAAAAAAAAAATTTCATTGGTATACAATCCCCCCCCTCCCAACCCGAGTACACTCCACTATGCAACCTTCATTCTGGACTCTTATCATAACCACAATACTCAATTATATATTGCTTTCAAACCGTTCTCTTCCTCATCTGTTTCAGTGCTGTATACATAATTTATCCAATTTTTCTTAGTCTCACTCCAACCCTGATGTCAGTACCGTTCTAAAGTGGCACCATGCAGCACCTGTCCTTTTGTGACTGAGATATTTCACTCAGCTTAATGTTCTCCAGGGTCACCTATTTTGTATAATATTTCATGAGTTCCTTGTTTTTCAATGCAGCATAGTATTCCATTGTGTGAATATATCAGAGCTTCTCTATCCATTCGTTTGTTGATGGGCACTTAGGTT